TGAATGATTCATGAATTTATTTATATATATATATATATATATACACACACACACACACACATATATATATATATGTATGTATGTATATATAAAAATGAATATTGAAATCAACACACACAAGCAACAGATTTTTTATGCTAACGCAATTATCAGGCGGCCTGATGATTGCGTCTAGCATGAAACAGCAAACTGTCGACTTGAAAAATTGACTTTAAACGTTGACTTTATATTTGCACACATATCTATCTCTGATAATTAATATAATTTATCCCATAAATATTGTTCAAACATAAAATAAAACTATCTCTCTCTCTTATATATATATATATATATATATATATATATATATATATATATATATATTGTCTGAATTTTGTTTTATATATACAGCGAATGTTGAGTAATAATGTAATGCGTTTTCTGGCAATATCTTCGTGGGTATCTACAAGTCCACAAACTCATGCATATTTGCTTTTTAATTATTTACGTGAGCCGCCATGAATGTTTAGTCGCCATATTGCCGTGAGCATAGTCCCAAGCGCCAGAAAATAGCTGCGTCTCTTGATGAATTTTATTTTTATTTCTTCTACTTTTACACTTAACTGCTTTTTGTTTGTTTTTTATTTTATTTTGTCCAAATAATAATTATAATGCCCTGCATATGATCTTCCAGAAGGTTCGTCGTCACCTAGGCGGCAAAAAATGGCTGTCTGTATTTATCCGTCTTAACTACTCTCTTTCTATTGTTCTCCACCTATATATTCTTCTTTCTTTCAACTTTCGCTGTATTCTTAAATAATTTTTTCCTTTCTTTTTTGTTTTTCTTTTCTCTTCATTGTATCCGGACTGTTCCTTTCTTTTCTTGCTTCTTTTCTTTCTCCTTGGATCTGCTTTGGTTAATACTTTCTTTCCTGTTTTTTCTTTACGTTTTTCTTTTCATTTCTTTATTTTACTTGTGACATTCCTTCTTATTCTTTCATTCTCACTTTCTTTCTTTCTACCTTCTTTTCTTCCTACCTTTCTTTCTACTTTCCTCCCTTCCTTCTTTTCTTTGTCACGTTCAAGTTTCAGATAATTTCATAACATCCTTAGCTCTCATTACATAATATTTACTTTCTTTCTTTCATTTTCGTCTTTCTTTTTTCTTCCCTTCAGTTCTATTTTTCTTCCTTTCTTTCTTCATTATCTCGCGTTCCTGTTTCAAATATTTTCATTCCTAAACATCTTTCATTACATGCCATTTTCTTTCTTTCTTTCTTTCTTTCTTTCTTTCTTTATTTCTTTATTTCTTTCTTTCCCTCTTCATTTCTTTCTTTCTTCATTATCTTGCGTTCTTGTTTCAAATATTTTCATCCTTTCTTAATCTTTCACTGCATGCCATTTACTTTCTTTCTTCCTTTCTTTCTTTCTTCCTTCCTTTCTTCCTTCCTTCCTTCCTTCCTTCCTTCCTTCCTTTCTTTCTTTCTTTAGTTCGTCTTTCATTTTCTTCTTTCGTTTTCCTTCCCTTCAGTTCTATTTTTCTTGCTTTCTTTCATTATATATCTCACATTCCTGTTTCAAATATTTTCATTCCTTCCATCATTTTATTATATGCCATTTTTTTTTTTTTTTCCCTTTTTTCATTTCTTTTTTTCTTCCTTTCTTCCTTCATTATCTTGCGTTCTTGTTTCAAATATTTTCAGTCCCTCTTCCTTTTTCATTGCATACCATTTACTTTCTTTCTTTCCTTTCTTTCTTCCTTTCTCTCTTTCTTCCTTCATTCCTTTCTTTCTTTCTTTCTTCTTTCATTTTCGTCTTTCTTTTTTCTTCACTTTAGTTCTATTTTTCTCCCTTTCTTTCTTTATTATCTCATATTCCTGTTTCAAATATTTTCATTCCTTCTCCATCTTTCATTACATGCCATTTTCTTTCTTTCTTTCTTTCTTTCTTTCTTTCTTTCTTTCTTTCTTTCTTCCCCCTTCATTTATTTCTTTCTTCCTTTCTTTCTTCATTATCTTGCGTTCCTGTTTCAAATATTTCCATTCCTTCTTCATCTTTCCTTGCATGCCATTTACTTTCTTTTTTTCTCCATTTCTTTCTTTCTTTCTTTCTTTCTTTCTTTCTTTTATTTTTTTCTTTGATTTCTTTTCCTTTCTTTTCTTTTTTCTTTCTTTGAAATTCCTTTATTCTTTTTTTTTCGTCTTTTTTTTTTTTTGAATCATTTCTATTCTTCTTCCCCCTTTTAAAATTATTATCTCACATTCCTTTTCATACCTTCTCCATCTTTCATTACATGCAATTTTCTTTCTTTCTTTTTTTATTATCCTTTTTTCTTTTCTTCCTTTCTTTTTGTCTTTTTCATTTTTTTTTTCTTTTTCCTTCCCTTCAGTTCTATTCTTCTTCCTTTCTTTCTTTATTATCTCACATTCCTTTTCATACCTTCTCCATCTTTCATTACATGCAATTTTCTTTCTTTCTTTTTCCCTCCCTTCGTTTCTTTCTTCCTTTCTTTCTTCATTAACTTGCGTTCCTTTTTCAAATATTTTCATTCCTTCTTTATCCTTCATTGCATGCCATATATTTTCTTTCTTTCTTTCTTTCTTTCTTTCTTTCTTTCTTTCTTTCTTTCTTTCCTGTTTGTTGAACAATTTGTCAATTACACTAAATCACGGCCAATTACCCTATAAATATTTAAAAAAATAAATGAATTGGAAAATTGCTTTTTGTTGTGGCGCCTTTTGTAAACAAGGCGGACCTTGACAGACTGAGCATCCGCCAGCAAGATACAACCAGGTTTCCCAGATCTCGCCTGTCTCCATCTAGTTTAGGTAACCAGAGAGACGCTTTTAGTCCAATAAAAAAATTCCCTCAATTTATTAATTATCAGGATTAGACTGGGCTTATATTTAATATCTATATCTCTAACAGAGGGAATAGAAACTAATAAGGAAATAGATTCAAATTTACACCTCTATAACAAAAAATATGCGAGCGGTTTTATTTACGATTACTATTCATATTATAGAATTTTTATCAATACTATATATCTAACGTATTTCTATAACACAACACACATTTACAATGCATTTCAATAATATAAAAAAAATGTTTCTTCGGTTTAGTAAATAAATAGGATACTTAAGAATCGAACGAATGTTTTATTGTAAATATTTATAAATCAGTAAAAATTTTTTTTGTAATGCAAAAAAATAAAATTTCCTTTTTTTAGGCTTTCATTCATTCCATTCCCCCTAACACTTACTTCTGGTGAAACAATTGATATATAAATTAAAATGCATCAAGACATCAAACATATAAATTTAGAAATAATTTGAGGGCACAGAATCTGAAAATAGACCTTAGTTTTTTTTTTTTTAGCTACCGGTTTTGCTGTGAAGAAATGCCCCATTGTTGAAAAAAAAATTTTCTTTGTTTTTTGTATATATTTTATTAAATTTGATGGCAATATTTCTTTGCATATAAATAAGATCGTACAAAGCTCATAATCCGTATTTAAACCAACAAATATTGGTTTGCTTATTGAGAAATATTATATTTGCAATAAATATAATCATTGACCCTAAGTCTTTTTCAAAAATAATATTTATATATTCAATTAAAAGATGATTTAATAAACTAACAGCAGAAATAAAACCTTCGTGAACATAAGAACTATGGCAAAATTTTTTTTTTTTTATGTTTGTCATGTTCAATGTTATTTAAAACCCTTTTGATATCCCAAAATTTTCATATATAATGGTATAGGTGCATACAATTGGATGTCTTTACTTAATTTCTTTTCTTTCCAATGACTAAAAAAAAAAATGATAAAATGTGCTTGGTTTCCTTCTGTGGTGATGAGATAAATTTATGAATATCAAACAGAAGATTTTCAGATTTCATTTTCTTTATGTCACCTTAATTATCCAGTTTGGAAAAATTCGGTACTTCTATTTTTAAATTTTTGGCTAAAAAACACTTATTTTCTTATAAAAAATAGTTTATTTCAGGTGACTGATATAAATTGATCGGCCTGTCTGAAAATTGATAGGTTTCTACGACGTTTATTAACCAAAATTTGCGACCAGCCAAGATTTTAAATTGATCTTTTTTTCCAAAGACGAGCAATTTCAATACAGCAAAAATGTTAACTGTGACGTCGTCCCCCGGTCGCAGCGCCAACTGTGACGTTCTATCCTGATCTACCACGGCGCCAGTTGAGACGTCCCCAAACAGCATCAATTGTGACGTCCTCGCCGCGGCGCCAGCTGTTCGCTCCTCGCTGTTCCGTCCGGGTGTCGCTGCTCTAAACGTGACGTCCGCCTGTCGCGTCAGTCGTGTTTTCTCGTCCTGTGACGACCAACTGGCTTGGTATCGGTCGCGGCACCCAAATGTGACGTTCTAACCTTTTGGTGATTCGGGTGGGAATCTGGTTAGATTTGATATCAGCCTCGTCGTTCCCAACTCGCTTCCAACGCCTGGTTACCAAAGGTAACTGCATTGATCTCCAGTCTGCCTACCCACGTTGTGAATTGATCTTAGGCAGACGAGATCAAACAGTAGTTGGGGCCGTAATGCAAATTGAGTTCAAACGGGGGTGATACCACACAAATATGCATAAAAAGAAAATAAAATGAAAACTCAAAAAGTTCAAAGTATCAAAAAAAAGGTAACAAACTTTATGTCTAGTTGTTCGATACATAGGACTGCATCTATCTCCCGACCCGTTCTATGGATTGTGACACGTCGTTTTCCGTTAGGCGAGTTTTAACGCTTCAAGTTGTTTGCTCTCTAAGAAATTGGTTTTTCGGTGTGTCTTTGGACGAAAGTCGAAAAAAAACTATTTTGTGGTCTGGATCTAAGTCGCTCTTCAAAATAATTGTTCTTGGGTTGAAGAGGAGTCCGGAATTTGCGTGAATCTTGGTCAGCTATCTGCGAGGCGGAACTCAACTGGAGACTGACTCTGGAACTGAACTCTGAACTGTCTGGAAACTCGAACTCGAACTCTGATTTCTGCTCTGGGGGCTTCGCTTTTATGGACGCCGACCAAAACCGGGGTGGGTCTGTTGGCGTCGGGGGTTCCTCGATAATTCTAAATACATATCCACCTCTTTTTATTTCTGGTTAGGAATTTTCCACTTTTTTTCCATTTTTGGGAACCTTTCTCTCCTCCCACCTTCTCACCATACTTCAGAGGGGCGTGAACTGCCCTCCCCACTTCTTCGTAGCAACTTCTCATACCCATCCTCTGGAATGGGCGGTCGACAGCTTCCTCCTCCTTCGTGCGTCACGTGATCACCACTCGACCAATGATGTCTTAGTCGGGCGTGAACGATCCCGCGGCTTTGTTTCAGGAAAAAAAAAAAATATCTTGCTTAACTAAAAAAAAAAATTATCTTTTCTTTTTCTTTTTTTCTTTCTTTTAAATCGCCGTTATCATTTTCTCTAGCCGCAAACAGAACAATAATTTGACAACACATAACTTTTCTCACCTGGTTTTTCGCAATCATCTTATCGCTAATTATCAGAATGGGTGGTCTTTTTCTCAACGGCAGTCAGTCCGTCGCCCTCGAAAAAAAAAAATTTCTAGGTTCCATTCATTTTTTCGGTACATATTTCTGATAACATAATTTTTATTATCGCAGGCCAAAGATGTTTTGTCGAAAAAAAAATCGGTCAGTGAGACTACTTGTGGGGATTTAATTTTTCATATCTATCCAAAGCCCTTTAGTTCACCTGTTTTTTGTCAATTATCAAAATAACATTTTCAATTGAACTTTTCTTTGGCTAACGGTCTTGGTTTGATAATCAGATGCCATTTCCCGCATTAAATAGGTTTGTTTAAACACATCCCAGATAACACAGCCTTCCGTCAGAACACACCCGATTCCTTTATTTCACTCAGAATTTCCCTGTCATTGTAATGACACTCTTTTCGCCATTTGTTACTTATCAAAATATCCTTTATCCATTGTCTCTTAGCCGTGTGTGTGTCTGCTTATCATCCTATGAATCGTCTCGCATTTCTTTTTTTCTTTTTTCTTTTTTTCTTTTTTGCCTGGTGCCATGGTGCCACAATAATGTTTTCATTGGACAACCTACTTAAAAAATTTTAATAAACCATTGCTTTTTTTGAATCAGCACCATTATCAAATTTTCTTACTGCTTCGATATCGTGTTCATTTATATATATCTTTATATAAATAGTGTAATCTTTGTATATATAGGTTTTTTCTGCAGAAATGCAATATTTATAAAAAAAATGACAAAAATTAAAAAAAAAGAAAAAAATTCCGTCCAAAGTCATTCAAAAAAAAAAAATATAATGAATGATTTTGTTCAAAACATCCGGTTTAACAAAAAAAAATTTCTGTCTTAATCAAACCGGCTTAGTATGTTTACTGAACCAACTTTCTGTAATCCTGTCATTAGAAAATTGCATCTTCTCTGCTTCTCAAATCTGATGATAAATTGTTGAAATTTTATTTTATTTTATTTATTTATTTCATTTGAGCATTTATTTATTATTTGTCGTTTCTTAATCTTCTTCTTCTCTCCCATTAAGTATTATTATTATTATTATTAATTTATTTTCTTTGATTTCCATTGGCGTTTTATTTATTTCTTTTATGAAACGAAGTTGAGCTAAATTTAAAAATTGGCGTCATCTATCCTTTCCAATAGAAAAAAAAAAAAGAATTATGTAGATAGATAAAACTGCTTTCTCTTTGTGGGCTGTATAGAATAAACAATTTTCATGTTGTTCTTTACAGGCAGAGGTGGAAATTTTATCAGGAGCAACGATTCAAATCAGTCTTTTGATGGATGCTCAAATTTGTTCCAACCAGTCCTCAGGGTATTTATTTCATTTAGATTTTGATTGTTGATGTTCCAAAAAAAAAAAAAAAAATAAACTTTCTTAATTGCAAGGTCCTTTGTAATGTTTTCACAACTTTCTGAATATTTTCATCAATACATAGGAAAATTCAGCTTGCTAGGAATGCCATATCAATAAGAATTTGTATCGTTTTTTCGTTTTTTAAGAAATAAAATATCTTCATTTTTTACTAACGATTTGTTTGATCAGTATTCATTGAAGTCCCAAAGAATTGTAGAGGATTTTTATCTCCTTAATAATGATTTAGCTAACTTTCAAATTCATTATTATCAAAAATATTTAATAAAATCATCAATTCTAAAGTGTTCCTGATATTTTCGAACAAACTCTATATTTATGATAAATAGAAAATAAATATGTGAACAACAAATAAATTTGTAATGAAAAAAATTTATCAGTTTTAGAGAAAAAGGTATTTTTTTTTGTGATTCAAGTTATTTTCTCCAAATATAATTATTTTAAATCAGGTTGAATTTTTTTATAGATTTGAAATAAACCTTTTTTTTAAAATCCAATTACTTTCCTCAATTTCTTCTGTTGAGTTCAATTTTAAAACTTTTTTATTGTAATAACGAATAAATTTTTTAATCAAATATTATTGTAAATAATTTTTTCATTGTTTA